GTATATCATTACTGGACCCTTCGCTCACCTGCTGCCCTACCTGTCAGGCACGGAGGGGGGGGCGAGGGGGGATAGGGGCTACAGGATGGGGGTTTGGACCGCAGTGGACGCTGGCAAAAAGGGGGAAATTGCATCACTGTCATTCCTGTTATTTGTATCATGACTGTTGGGGGTGTTGCTCTTCTAGACTGTCATCCTCGTCTTCCACTGTCATATTCTCTTATAACTATTGTTTTTATTACCAATACCATGGAATTATATAATAAGGAAGGATCAAAAAGCCTGTTCTTATTGTGGTCAGCATCATTATCATCGTTATCATGTTCACTGTTTTTTATCATTTTCATGATCATCATTACGATCTTTACACATCATTTTCATTGCGATTAATACTGATATATCTCAACTTCTAACGATATTACTGACATCATTATCAGTTATGATAAAGTTACTATTCTCGATAATTCCACAATTAGAATTATTGTAACGAAAGTGATTAGACTTTATCATTGTCATTTACCACTATAACTATCCATATGACTATCATTGACAATAAAAACGGAACATACCATTTGCATTCTTCATAACGGATATTATATGTCTTGTATCTAATTGGTATTAGTTATTACTATTATTATCATTATTATTTTCATTACCATCATTATTACTATTGCTATTATCATTATTATTATAACAATAATAATGATAATAATACTACTAATAATAATGATAATAATAATAATAATAGTATTAGTAATACTACTACTACTAATAATAATAATTAATATTATTGTAATAATAATAGTAATAATAATAATAATATTCATAAAGAAAATAATGATGATGATGATGATAACAATATTAATATCTATAATTATAATGATACCAAGAAATTGATTATAATATTTACAAGGATAAGATGAAAAATAACAATAATAATAATAATAATAATTATCCCTATTATAACATTAATAATAATAATAATAATAATAATAATAATAATAATAATAAACAATATAAAAATAGCAACAACAACAACAATAATAATAATAATAATCAGTAAAACAATAATGATGATAATAATTTTTATCAATATTATCATCATCATCATTATTATCATTATAATTATTATCATCATTATCATCATCATTAGTATCATTATTATCACCATCATCATCAATGACATTGATATAATCACTAGCATCACTGGTAGCAACAACAGCAGTAGGTGAGTAAGTAAAATTAGTATAGTTTATATAGTAGGGAGTAGTAATGGTAGTGGTATAAGTGTTAGCATAGTGGTAAGGTAGTGTAGTGGTAGTGGTGGTGGTAGGGTATGGTGGTGGTGTGGTAATAGTGGTGTGTTGGTGTGTGGTAGTGGTGGTGTGTGGGTGGGGTTGAGGTGGTGGTGGTAGTGGGGTGGGGTAGGTGGGAGTATTGGTTAGTAGTAGTAGGGAAGTAGTTAGTATGAGTGAGTATAATAGAGTAGTATAATATAATGTTAGTAGTAGTAGCATCAGCAACATAAATTAGTAGTAATCAGAAGGCATCTACCATAAACTATTAATTCAATTACATTATTATATCTATTATTATCATACTTATCATAACATCAACACTGTCTTTCTATATCCATCGACATCTTAATAAAACTTGATTACGATAAGGTACCTGGCACTAAATCTACTACATCACAGTTTGGTACCTCCATAAACTACTATACTAAAACACACACGAAAGATTAATGCGGCCTATAAAAAAGTATTTTCAACCTGAGACGAAGAGAGAGAGAAAAAGTTAAAAGGTGCAAGCGAGAGGTAGACAGTGCGGGAAGGGTTGTACAGCATGGGTCTGGTTTCGGCTCCTGGAGGCGCTACGCGCTCCTGAAAGAGTTACGAGGGAAATGTGGTAAATTAACGAGGGAACACTCTGCGTACTATGGCCAGACGGTATGATCTGCCTAGGGAGGCGGCATGCGGGGCCTTAAAAGGATTCGGGGCTTGTGTTGATTTAGGAGTTGCCTTCGGGAAAAAATACCTCACAATCAGGATATAATTATATTTATGTAATGAGAAATGTGCACCAAGATATCGGATCGAAACTAACCACGACATTGCACGTGTCTCTTCTCGTAATAACATCACGGATGCAACAATGAACAGGTTTCACTTGTTAATCATCTGAAAAGTGTGCCAATAACCATAAGAAATGATTAACGCTACACAATATAAGGTCAACATTAGAACATATATAAGCTCTGATAGTAAACCTTGTGGGACGTGAAAACAGCAATTCAAACGAAAGGAACGACGGACCATAAAGGCGCTAAAAAGAAAAAGACCGAACAGCCAAGAGGAAACGAAGCCGGTGTTCTTGGAAGAGGAAGGCGTGGGGGGGGGAGGAAGGGCAGAAGAGGAATGTGGAACGGGAGATGGAAGGAGGATTGCGGTGGGAATGAGAGGAAGGAAGATGGGGGGGAGGGGGAGAGGAGGGAGGGAACGGGGAATAGGATAGAGGGAAGGGCAGGGGGAGAAGAGTGATGGAGAATGGAATGCGGGAAGAGAAGAATGATGGATATTACGGATGGGCAAAAGGAAAGAAATGGCGAGCGGTGTCGAAGAGGAAGAAGGGATAGCATAAGAACGAGTAAAAAAAGGAAAGAGTAATGGGGAAAAAAAGGAAGGGGAGAAAATACGAATGACGACAGGAGGGAAGAATGATGGAGATCATAAAGGTAGAGAAAAATTAGGATAAACGAAAACAAAAAGAAAGAAATAGGAAAAAGCCTCAGAACGGCAACGAAAGGAAGAAAAACCAAAAAAAGAGAGAAGAAAAGCGTGAAAACGACGGAAGAGGGGAGGAGAGAAGAGAAGAAACAGTGGCGGAGAACAAGGCAGTGAATGATGAACCCTTGCCAAGCGCCAGCCTTCCCCTGCGGCCAAATTCCTTCCGCGTCCCGCCAGCGACCGAGCGCCCGCTTGTCACGTCACATGACAGACCATAACACCAGGGCTCCCTCGCTGAGTCACGCGGGCCATTCATCCATTACGCTGTGACGTGGACGCGGAGACTCGGGGGATACAAGAAGACAAAAAGAGAAATAAGTGAAAAAAGAAAAACATGTCCTTGGCCTTGAGACTAAATTCCCGCACGAAAAAGAAGGAGAAGGAAAGGTTGCTAGGCATCGATGCCGTTTTTGTTGTGGTTATTTCTGTTCGCTCGGATCTCTCATTTTCATTCCGTCTCGCATCGTATCATCCTCTAATTACCTTGAACTTATGGCAATTAGGGGGTAATGGAAATTAATGAAGTAAAGTAAAATTAGAGTAAAGCGAAGTATGTGTTTACCGGTGACCAAGCGCGTAAGCAATGCTACTGCCTGCCATGCCTTGCGTTAATTTAGCTGGTTTTACATACTTCCTATTATTGACGGTCTTGTCCCTCTCGTCAGCTCATTTCTACGGTTTTGTGTATCAAAGTGCGTCGAAGAGCTCGCAGATTGCTTTTAATATGCTATCTAGCTACTAACAAATGCAAAGAGCCAATATCAAAAACGTACAAATATGGATATTTTTTTAGCGCCGTTTCCTACGACAAGTCGAGAAGAAGAAGAAGAAGAAGAAGTCGAATCATAACCACATATGAGAAGGATAAAAGGTTTCTCCAGACACCTCTGATAGACTCTGGCAAGACCGAGACTCCGAATGCATGAAGCAGTGAGCATTATAATTTTAGAGAAGCAATATACACCGCGATCTTCCGTCAGATGGTATACAACTGAATTACTCACCCCTGAGACCCTTTTGGCGCGTGCCAAGTAGACCCTCCACCGCGAGACCCGCTTCCTCCCCCTCCGCCTCCTCCTCCATCATCATCCTCTTCTATTTCTTCGCTTTTTTCTCTCTTTTCCCTACTTTACCTCCATTTTTCTTCCTCCTTTCTTCCTACTCCTCTCTTTCTGTGCTCGTCCTTCGCCTTCATTCCCCCACCCCTCTTCTCTCCTCCTTCTACTTCTTTTCTTCTTCTTCTTTCTTCACTCATTCATTCTTTCTTTCTTTCTTTTTTTCTTCTTTTTTCTTCTCCTCCTCCTCCTCCTCCTTCTTCTTTCTTTTTCTTCTTCATCTCCTCCTCCTCTTCCTCTTTTTCCTTCCTCCTTCCTCTCTTCTTCCTCCTCCCTTTCTCTTCTTCCTCCTCCTCCTTCCTCTTCTTCCTTCTCCTCCCTTCCTCTTCTTCCTCCTCTCCTTCCTCTTCTTCCTCCTCCCTCCTTCTCCTCTTCCTCCTCCTCCTCTTCCTTTCTCCTCCTCCTCACTTCTCTTCCTCTCCTTCTCCTTTCTCTTGTTCTGCTCCTCGTCCATCTCTTCATCCCCACCCTCTTCATCCTCATCTGCTTTTCCTGCTCCTCCATCTCTTTCTCCTTTTTTCTTCATCTTCTATTAATCCTCCAACTCCTACTCCTCTTCTTCTCCCTCTTGCTCTTCCTCTCCTCTCTTTCTCTTTTCGTCTCTTCCTTCTCTTTCTCCTCCTCCTCCCTTCCTCTTTCCTCCTTCTCTCTCTTTCCTCCTCATCCTTTTCTTCTCTTCCTCCTTCCTCCCCATCCTCCTTCCGCACCTCCCACCCTAACCCCCCCCCCCCACCAGCCCCCCCCCCCGCCCGGCGTTCCTCCAGCCACCGCACACAGTTTGTTCCTGTCTTTCCCTCGCCAACTCGGTCTCCAATTTCCTAATAATATCCGCTCTCTTCATTCTCTATCTCCTCTTTTTGCTGTTTTCGCTTACTTCTGATAAGGATGCACGTAACCCATTCAAGAAAATCACAAAATAAGCTCTGTTCTCTCGAAAAGGAACACAAAAGCATCTCCCCCAAGCAGACAAAAAAATACAGAGAAAAGAACGCAACACAAAAAAGAGAGAAAAACAAAACAACAGCAGCAACGCGATCCAGTGCTCCGCCGAGTGCACGTGCACCGAGTCCAGAGGCCCTTCGAGTGTGCAGGTACTTACCAGGAGATTTTGGCCGCTTGGATGTTCTCGAGGGAAACCACCAGGACGGCATCACCGCCCGCGGCGACCTTCACCGCCTCCATCCTCGCCGTTACGGAAGCTGCGGGAGAGAGGGAGAGGGAGGTCGTCAGCTGATAGGCCGGGTAGCTAAATATATATGCGTATCTGTATATCTAAAAATATCAGTGCTCATCATCTATTATTGTTACCATTATCATTATTGTTATCAATGTTATTATTATAAATATGATAATAATAATATGACAATAACAACAACGACAACAATAATGATTATACTGCTGTTACTACTACTAATAATAATATTGATTGTAATAATGATTTTCATGTTGATGATGAAAACAACAACAACAATAATAATGATAACAATGATGATGCATTATTATGGCATAGTATCATTATTTATTATTATTATTATTATTATTATTTTATATATTATTATTATTTTAATTATTATTGAATTTATTATTAAAGTCATTATGGATATTGAAACCCATTTATCATTTTTCATTGTCATTGTTAACCATGATTTTGATGCACAATATTTTTACAAATAATCTAGTCAATCATACTTACTAATTTTACTGCCATTTTTGTAATTATAATTGTTATCTGTAGTATTACATTTACTGTTTTTACTGTTATTATCCGAGCGATAATAACAACAGCAACAAAACAGATAATGATGATAATAATAATAATAATAATAATAATAATAATAATAATAACAATAATAATAACAACAATAGCAAAGATCATAATGGTAGTAGTTAAAATAATAATGCTAATGATAAAATGTATTAATAATGAGAATAATAAAGATGCTGATGATAATGATGATGATGATAATTATAACAATAACAAAACATGATAATAATTATAATAATGATAATAATGAATAATAATAAAAGCAAACAAATAACACAAAATGATAATAATAATAATTAATAATAATGATAATGATGATAATAATAATAATAATAATAATAATAATAATAATAATAATAATAATAATAATAATAATAATAATAATAATAATAATAATAATAATAATAATAATAATATAATAAAAATAATAAATAAAAAAATAATATCAATAATAGAAATGATAGTAAAATAAACATCAGCAATAATAATGGTCATAATAATAAATATAATAATAACATTGAAAATAAAATATCATCAACATAATCATAACAATGCTGCTGCTGCTGATGATGATGATGGCGATGATAATAAAAGTAATGATAAATAATCATTGGTAACAAATAACAAAAACAATAACAACTATAGCAAAGAAAAAATGGCAATAATGATGTTAGTGATAATTATAATGGTAATGGTAATAATTATGAAAATACTGCTACTACTGTTACTACTCCTATTACTACTACTAATAAATGATATAAACAAATATAATAATGATAATAATAACAATAATAATGATAATAACAAAAAAATAATAATAATGATGATGATAAAAATAATAAAAAATAAAATAATATGTCATAATAACAAAAAAATAATAATTATAATGATAATAATAATAATAATAATAATAATAATAATGATAATAATAATAATGATGATAATGTGCCATAATAAAAATAAAATAATAATAATAGTAAAAATAGTTATAATAATAATGAAGATGATAATGGCCATAATTAATAATAATAATAAATTAAATATTATAATAATAATGATAATAATAACAATGATAAATATAATATAATAAATATAATAATAATAATAATAATAATAATAATAATAATATCATAATAATAATAATAATAATAATAATAATAATAATAATAATAATAATAATAATAATAATAATAATAATAATAATAATAATAATAATAGTGGTAGTAGTGACAATTACTGATAGTCTTAACCATCATTATCATCACCATTATCATTATCATCACCAGCATTATTACTATTGCTACCATCAACACTAACAGTATTACCATCATTGCCATCAAAGCATTATCATCATTATCAAAATAATTTTCATTAGTAGTATTACTGTCATTGCCAGCATCACTGCCTGGAGCATTGCACCTATTGATAACCAATCATCATTGAAAACAGAATAATAATGATAATGATGGTGACGACGATGATGATAGCAGCAGCAAAAACAGTAAATGTAATACTACGGATAACAATGATTATAATTACAAAAATAGTAGTAAAATTAGTAGGTATGAATGACTAGACTATTAGTAAAAATATTGTGCATTAAAATTATGGGTAACAATGATAAATGGGTTTCAATATCCATAATGACTTTAATAATAAATTCAATAATAATGAAAATGATTGTGATCATGAAAATATTCCTAACGGTAAAATCCATGCTAAAAATAGCCCCCAATTCAATAAAACGACCGATGATAATACTAGTGAATTGAAGATACCAATGGCTGTAACAATAACAAAGTTTGCATATAGATTCAGCTTTATAATAATTGTAATGTTATATATTATTACATAAACAATTACAGAAAAATACTTAAAACAACGTAACTCTCTGATGGGATGATGAAAATGATAATTTTGTTTTTATTGATAGCAATAAAAAAAAATGTAACGATTTCTATAACAACAAAAACAACTTTATTGTTAATAAAAAAAACAGCAATGGTTATAATGATAACAACAATAGTAATAATAATAATAATAATAATAATAATAATAATAATAAATGATAATAATATCATAACATCTTCATAATAAGAGTTTTAATAATAATAACTATCCTCCTCCTCATCATCATCATCGTTATCATCATCATCATAATCATTGATATTATTATTATCATTATCATAATAATAATGCTAATGATGATGATAATAGTAATAATCATGATAATAATAATAATAATAATAATAATAATAATAATAATAATAATAATAATAATAATAATAAAATAATATAATATAATGACAATAATAATAATAATAATAATATAATAATAATATAATAATAATAATAATAATAATAATAATAATAATAATAATAATAATAGTGAATAATAATATAAATAATAATAATAATAATAATAATAATAATAATAACAAAAATACTAATGATAATGATAATAATAACAACAATAATAATAATAATCATCATCATAGTAATAATATCAATAATAATAGAAATCATAGTAATAATAACTATAACAATAACTAAAACAGCAGTAGCAACAAGAACGACATTAATGATAATGATAATAATAAAAATAACAAAACAAAAAACAATGAATAAATACTAATGATGACAATGATAATTACATTAAACCCACAAAAACAGCGAACAATAATATGAATGAAAATAAAAACATGAATGATAATAGGAAACATGATAATGATAAAAAATTCTATCAATAAAAATTAATCATAATCAACATGATGATAAAGATAACGAAAATTATCATCATAATAACATCAAATATAACAGTGATGAAATCAAATATAACAATGACACTGATAATGAAAATGAAAGTCAGTATCAGCAAAACAATGAAAAATATGATAAAAATATTAATGATGGCAATGAAATAATAATAATAATAATGATGCTGATACAATGATAATAATAATAAATAATAATAATAATAATATAATAATAATAATAATAATGATAATAATAACAATAATCATAATAATAAAAAAAAACGATAATGATAACAATATAATAATAATAATAATAAAAATAATCATAATGATAATAATACCAATAACAATAATAATAATAATAACAATAACAATAATGATAATAGAAATAATGAAACAATAACAACACTACTACTACTAAAACAACAAATAAATAATAATAATAATAATAATAATAATAATAAATATATAGCCATGATAATATTATTAATGAAACAAATAATCTTAATTATGAAAATGCTAATTATAATTATAATCACATTAATAATAATGATCATAATAGTAAGGATAATAATACTGATCACTATAGTTAAAATAAACATAATGATAAACATAAATAATGATAATAATGATGATGATAATAATAATAACAAAAATTATAATAATAATAAAGAAAATAATGATGATGATAATAATAGTAATAATAATCAAAAATAATATAATAATAATAATAATAATAATAATAATAATAATAATAATAATAATAACAACAATGCCAATATCACTAATAATAATAACAATTATTATCTGTATTATCAATATTATTATTTTCATTATTATAATAACAATAATGATGATGACAACAATAATAGCAATAACAACAATAAAATAATAATAATAATGATAATAATGATAATAATAATAATGATAATGATATTAATAATAATAAAAATAAAAACAATAATAATCATAATGATTATGATAATAGTTGTAATAATAAAAATGACAAAAATAATAACAATAATAATAATAATAATAATAATAATAATAATAATAATAATAATAATAATAATAAAATGACAATAACAACTACAATATCATTAAGAATAACAATAAGAACACTAATAATGATAATAATAATAATAATAACATATAATAATAATAATCATAATGATGATGATGATGATAACAACAAAAATAATAACAGTAATAATAATAATAATAATAATAATAATTACAATAATAGAAATAATGATAACAATAATGATGATAATAATAACAATAAGAAGAATAATGATAACAATAACAATAATAATAGTAATAATATAATAATAATAATAATAATAATAATAATGGTAACAATCATAGCAATACGATCAAAAATAATAATAATCCTAATCAACGTGATGAGATTCAGGATTAAAAGTAATAATGATAAGTGTGATAAAGATTACTGTAATAATAATAAGTAATATAATATTAATATTGATGATACTACTAATAATAATAATAACATAATAACGATAATAATAATGATAAAGACAATAATAATAATAATAATAATAATAACAATAATAATAATAATAAGAAGAACGACAACAACAACTACACTACAAATGATGAAGATGATAATGATTGTTATCAAAATAATAACACGAATGTGGAATGACCTCTGAAT